TCGATGATTACTGGCCGCAGCTTCCACGCGCGGTCCGTCGCTGCCTCAGGAGCATCATTGCGACTGAAATGCATGTTGCGGGAAAGATGAGCAAACCGATCTCGCTTCATATAGTGGCCGAAGCACCCACGCGGAATTGCGCCTTCGTCGGTAGTCTTCCAGTGGTGGTCAAATTTCTCCTTGTTCGGCGCAATTGTTCTGGCAATGAGTAGTCCAATAAAAATACAAAACTCTCTTCCAGATATGTCAGGTGTTGCCAATAAATACTCCTTGATTTGCTCTTGCGATTTGACTTCAAAATTGTTGTCCTTCCGGTGACGGGCTTGTTGCTTTGCACGCTGTGGCCCAACACGCTTATCCAAATTGTGAAGGAAATAGTCGTCACTAGCTCCGGCAATGTCTTCCCAAAGATGGGGAGGTGCAAACAAGAAGAATGACCCCAACGCGGTCGAAGCAGCGGAAAGGGCTTCTTCAGTAGGCCCGTGATCCCCGCTGTAAATATTGGGATAGTCCTCCGTAAGCCATGCATCAGTCCGAGCCTCGTACGGCTCGTCCATGTAGGGAAAAGGCAATTGGGTATCAGGTCTATTCCATCCATTGAGCTTCATTTCTTTTAGAACATCCTTGTGTACACAACCGCGCGCAAGTGCTCCAACTCCGCCAACTGATTCAAGTAGAGATGGCTCGAAAAGTAAGTCAGGAGCAGCAGCAGAATCATCCACGACGGCGTCGGCTCTTGAAGCCTAAGTTCTCATCATCATCGTAAATGGACATATTCTCATTGTCACCATCGGAATCCAGTGCTGCAAAATCGGCTGGTTTATCTCCAGGCGCGATAACGTTTGGGTCATCTACATCCACATACACTATAAGAATCCATAACATGTACCCTTAACGTGTATACACACCATAAGCTTACCCATCATCGTTCTGATTCCATGTGCAAGGCTGATGCTTGGTTGCACTTCTTCAGGTGGTATGGCGGCCGGTTGCCCTTCTTCACCTGGCATCGTGCTTTCTCCGTCGCTATCAGGCTCAGAGCAGGCATACTCTGAGCCAGATGTAGCAGCAGACATGGAAATTCAGACATGTAAAACTACAATTGGAGATACTGCGTCTGCACCTATAAGGGAGTGGTGTGTTAACGTTAGCAGTAGTTCACAGGTACGAGCAAGATATTTGACACAGCTTCCTGTTTTCATCACCAGCTGAATTACCCAAATCACTCTCTGCCAGGTGTGGAGACGTAGCCTGAATGTTCGGACAAACAGTCTTCGTCGTGTCTGGATCTGGACTGACAGTTCGGTCAGCAACTATATACACGATAGCGTTAGAATCATAACACGTACATACACAATAAGATCAAACGCACCATCTTGTCTATCAGGCACATCGGTTTCAGGCTGTCCACTTTCCAGAGTAGGTTGAGTCGCTGCCGCTTTTGCTTGTTGCTTCGCCGCGGTAGCTTTCTTCATCTCCTCTGGCAAAGCACACGTATTAGAGTCCACACAAAGACCTTGAAAGGCGATACTACTTACCCAAGGCGATACGGTCCAAATATGCCATCAACGCAGCCTCTCCAACGAAAAAGTCTACGCCACGTACGTCCTTCTTCGTCTTCCCCGGCATAAGGTACGTGTAGTCGTTTGACAGGCCCGTAGGGGCCTTTGATTTCCATCCTTCCTTCAGAAGCTCTCGCCATCGGCCTCTGAACCCGAACATCTGAGCGGCAGCGGCGAAAATTCTCGAATGACCGAGATATGGGTGGCGCAGAATTCCACCTGCAATCCTCTATGCTGATTTGTGTGACACCCATCAAACTGTGTCTTCTAATTTTCTAGAAAAACCAAGTTCAAGGCACACGCATAGCTATGTACTGCTGTGCGGGAAGATGGGAAATATGCCTACCCCTTCTCGACTGACAATTTGTATGGTCCTATACAAACGTTAAGTATAAAAGCTTAACGTGTCTCAGACACGTTAAGCTTTTCGCGAAATCGTGTCTCATACAGGCTCTCGGGTTTGGGGGGTTAATACGAAAACTACAGTACCACGAAGGGTCCTTGAATTGAATAATTTACACGGCGTTAGCTCTCCGTAAGGAAAAATGACGATCTCAAATTTTCTAACGTATGAGCAGCTACACGTTGGCCGTACCCCATATCGTGCTCGCGTACTTGGCCTATACTTGCGCCCCATAACCCAAAAAGAGCGAAAAATTGTGATATATGGCACTGGAACGAAGAGATCGCTATTCACGATGTTTTCATGCCTGTTAACAGCATCTGCTCTATACACTACCGTTGAACCTGGTGCTGACCGTTCCTCTTTGTTATAGATACACCTGCTCTCATGCGCGCACGACTCTGCGTATGCCCTCCGTTTGTAAAACTTTGCACGTGTGTGCTAAAAGTTTATGGTCTGCTCGGGATGCAACCAACCGGTATTCCTCCTGGTTGATTTTGTTGCGTCTTTTGATCGAATGACTACGGCAGTTTCGTTTTTAACTAATCAAATCGTGGTTGTATCGTCACCGAATTCAGCATACGTTTTTGCCAGTCAACTGAATGAAAAGTAAGCGTAAAATGATTACATGTACACTGTCCTCCTCTCTAAGAGCGTAAGATTATACTGTAGCAAATTTGCGCTGCGAAATGATCGTGAACATTAGTTTTGAAGTTGATTGCCTGTATTCTCAAGGTCAACTCTGTCATATTGACAGTGTCAATACACTTACAGCTCAAAAGAAAAGGGATTGTCCAATGATTGTTGATCGGCTTTTTATTGAACGAATGACATCTTCCTTTCTTGTGTGTGTTTTTACGTAGCACTTCGTACTGCTCTCGAAATGCTTGGTTCTTGTGCTGGTTGGGCTGACTGGACTTGGATACGAGGCGAGGCAGCTCGTGTAGTAGTAATAGCTTCACGTCCGTCACGACCAAGTTCGTAGTTGTCGCCGTCCATGTCCTCCTGGCTTTTGTTACGACGACGACAAAGGCAGCGCACCACTGGAATGAGAAGAAGGACACACATTGTGATAGTGTGTTTGAGCTGGATGTAGCTGCAACGTCAAAAGGAAAGTGAGACCAACGAGTGTAACGAGGCACAACTCGAGTTCCTGTAGTAAACACGATCACTAACTCGATTACGACATACTTCGAAGTATTATCTGTTTGCTCTCCAGTCACGTGTCACGGATTGTGTCCTGGATATTGCTTATGGGTTTCTACTCGTGGCAGTAATCCGGTAACCGGAACGAATAATAGCTCACAGTAGTGTCTACAGCTTTATGAATCACGTTTTACTAGTACATACTAGGTCTAGTCAGTCTTTGTCGACTTCTTCGCGACTTCTGTATCCCCAGAGGCACTCGGATGCAGCCAGTTCTTGTATGAGTAGGCAGAGGCACCAAGCATTTGCTCGAGATGGTGATCGAGACACTTCTCGATACTACAAAGGTGACGAATGTACGCCAATTTAGGCCACACTGCACGCTGGCCGCCTTCGATGTAATGTGTCATATCTTGCACAGTTGGGTTTAAAATGGCCTTGATGCCGATGGATTCCAGGAAGCGAAAGTCGGGGATGATCATCACATTTCCTGAAAAGTTTTGCTTGAAGTACGAGCTAAACTGATGACCGTAGATCTTTGGGAAGAGACCCAGGAATGCGAGCATTTTCAGTCGGTGGCGCACGTCCCCTGCAATTACACTCTCGAGCTTGTAGAAAATGCTCTTAGTGTTGCTTGGTTTGTCGATTTCGTCACTGACGAAGGGTACCACGTGAGGATTCACTTGTGAAACGATAAAATTGGTCACGTCGAAGCCACTAGCCATTGTTTCCATGGGCAAATCGTGTTGAATGCTGCCATCCACCCACTCTTTATTCAGGGCCGCGTACGGAACGATATTGCCCTGGAAATCTTTCGCCATAAGCTGTTTTCCCTTCATAATGCCAGGAAGCGAGCAGGACACAGCGACAGCGCTCCATAGGAGCACGTGCGGAGTGTTAATATGACTCAACAAGAGCTTTTTTGGCCCTTTGTGGCCCGTAATATCGGACGCTGACACGGTGATACATACATGACGACCAGTCTTCAAGAAGGCGTCTTGGAACGTATAATACATAGTTTTGTCCTCGGCATTCATAGGCTCACTGTAGTAGTGCTCCGTAGTGCGCTCGAAGTCCGATGAGGCCACGAGAAAGCCCGTCTTTACGCAGTGCGCAAGTTGCTCCAAAAGCGGCGGAAACCAGCGAATACCCAGCGAGAAATAACGTGTCGAAATGTCGCTGACCAGGACATTATTCAGCAATTCTTCGTTCGTCCTGCACGCAGTAAAAGCTGCCGTAATAGAGCCACCGGAGGACCCTGAAATGACATTCGGTAGCACATTCGCATCCAGAAGAGCACGTATGACGCCCATGTGGTACATGGCGATGGACCCGCCACCGCTCAAACACAGTGCCGTCGAGCCAAAAGACTGTTTCATTCGCCTAAAGAAGCGGACTTTCTCTGCGTGAGGAAACTTTTCATCACTCATCCCAGCCAGTGTGTCCAAAGCGCGAATCACCAGTGCGTTATACTTGGTAATTGCCGTCTTCGTCCCGGAGTTGCATTCCAAATGGAGACTTGGTGAGTCTACGCCCAATTCGTCACGCATAACTACCGAAGCCACGATATACCGGAGTTCGTCCACATTGATGTTCTCACCCCCGTCAAGAGCTCGAGTCAGCGTCTCTACGTTGTGACGCATCTGTACAAAATCGCAGTGCTCTGTGTCTTGAGCATGAATCGTAGTCTTCCAGTTGTCCTTCCCTTCCAGCACGTCGAGATATTGCGCCATCTGCTTCCATTCGCGGTAGCTTTTGGTGGTTTTCATGAGTCGACGAAGTCTTTCGGCCTGCTTATCACGTACGCCGAAGAGCCCAACATATACACTTTTCACAATAAAGAGGATCTGCTTGATCACCTTCACGGTGACATACAGCGACAAAGAGAGCACGATACGCGCCATCTGATACAGCGCCACGATCCACTGCAAGATGATCACCACTTGCAAGCCGCAGAACCAGCCGACCCATTTATATTTGCGTACTAGTAAGACGATAGTCGCAATAACAGCAACGACTGCCAAGGGCCGCGCCACAACCTGCGGGTCTGATAAATCCTCGCGTTTGAGGTGTCGAAGGCTATTTACCACCGTCCAGAACTCCACAAGCGCCTCGTTCAGCAGCTCCACCACCACGTTCCGGCAATAATGCAAATGCTCGTCAAGATGTGCGGGAGCATCGGCAAGCCGTGCAAACAGCGCATCGACCAGGTAGCTGCCCAGACCTAATACCACGATAATACCGCCTACAACGTTGGCCACAAACTGCGCAAAACGATTCGAGTCCTTCCACTCCGCCTCCTCCCGCAAAGCGCGCTGTAGATCCTCCAGACTTCGCTTCTTGTTCATCGGAGGCCTGCGCTGCATCCTGCGACTAGCAACAGAGTCCTGGCGTCTGACTAGTCTGTGAGACGCTCGCAATTGGGGAATGCCTTGCCTCGTACCAAAATGTTTTACTTGTTTTTTGTAAGTGGATTTATAGTCATGACGTCGGCATTGTGAATTCCGACCATTTTGGTCCTGTTCAGTGAGTCACTCGAATACAAATTTCTCAGATCGTACTTAAGTGGTCGTTTTACGTACTTAAGTGGATTCTCTCTCCAGGGAAGCCAATATCATCCAAAACACCGTGTAGATCCGCTTACGCTGGTAAACGCGGGGTGACGACGCTGCGGTATGCTCGTCCCTGCGAGAGCGCTACCGAGTCGACAAGCCGAACGAGGCGCATAACAGCTTCCACTTGCGACGCATCTGGCTGCTCAGCTGTATCGGCGAAACAGGTTTTGAACGACCACAGCACAACGTTCGACAGCTCTGTCAGGACAACCTCCCGCACGCTAGTCGAGTATATGTCGTTGGAGTGGATGCCTTCAATTTTGTCGGTTGCTGATCCTGACGATACGCGCGCAGCCCATGCGAGCTGCAGCTTCTCTAGGAGCTCTTGGTCTGCATGGAGTTTTGACTGAGGCTTCTTGGCTGCTGCTTGTAGCGCTTCATCTTCTGGCAGCGAAATCTTCCTGCGTATCCTTGAAAGCATTGCTTCTCGGTGAGCTACTGTAGCAGTCGAGAGCTTCGGTGGAGAAGCGGGCAATCGCTCTAGCAATGCTCTGGCCTCACTATTTAGCAGCCGCAACAGCATTTTCGCCTGGAAGCGCATCATATAACCGTTAGATTACAACACTGTAGGGGTTTATTGTAGGGATCCATGACCCTACCTGCTTCAAGCGGTGGTAGATCGGAAACACCGACGAAAATGTCGGTGCTTCAGCCACGTGTCGAAAGTGGGGCGAGCCGACCTCAATCTTCTTGAGCACAAAGTCCGTCAACCTTTGATACCCCTGTCGTAGTCTCGCTACCTGCTTGGGGAATGATGCCTGAATTCGAGAAACAGGTACGTCCATTCTGCCACCTGACTCGAATTTCTGCTGTTGCTGTTGAATGAGCTGCCTTCTTTGAGAGCTCAAAGACACATACTCACTCATCTTACAGCAAAACGCATAGCGACTTGAGGCCTCTTTTTCCTTCAATTGCAACTCCTGCAACTGTGTTTCCAGCGCCTTTAATTTGCGTGGGTACACCAGTCGAGCTTTGGGCAGGGGCTCCAGCTTACGTTCTAACCTCTCAGAACTCCGGGTCGTTCGCGTCGCTTTCGCAACGGCCATAATGTTCTGCAGCTTCTTATCATCGGCATCCAGCGATTCGGTATGCTCTTCATCACTACAACTATCACCGGTGTCGCCTTTCGGCACGAGTTCCGCTCGGACTTGACGCGCGCGTCGGATGGCGTCCTGGATCGACCGTTCCACTTCCAGTGTCTCCTCTTGCTGCGCAGTTGTCTTCTCGACGAGCGACGTTTCGAGGTCATAAATGTTCTCGTAAATAGCCTGGAGATTATTGCATTGTTGCTGCAGCACTAGTGAGCGGAAACGCACGTCGGCGTCGAGGCTGGAAGTCGTGCGCAATAGTTCCTCAGCCACGCTATTCCAGCTGGCCATGATTTGCCAGATATGCAGCTTTTCAACCAATCCCGGAACTTCGGAAATTGGGAAAATCATTTTTATTAGAACAAAGTGTGTTTTTTAAACAAATTTCTCACTCCTTTCAAAATGTGCACACTTAAGCTTTTACTACGACAAAATGTGTGCGATATTTTCTTAAAAGCGCTTTCTTTGCGAGACGAGGATCATTCTGTACTGGTAAAATCGCCAAGATTTTTACGCCAAATTTGCTGATGGATGACTCAAATGCACAGATATATAAAATTAAATGAGGGTATCTATTACACAACATGTTCTGGTACATGGTGTATTCAATCGTCGGGATTACTTCTAAAACACTTAAAATAGCTATTTATTACGAAAGGGTATATATTATAACCGTAATCTGATTCTCTCTGGATACCTGTAAAAAATCCAGAGAGCAATCCTGACAAACGTATAAACGCTCTCTGATTTGTAAGTTCTGAGACTTTAATATGGAAAAATAATTCCGGCACATAATGTTGGGGATTGCCGTGCAAGATTCGCACGGGACAGGCATTATATTAGAAATGGGTGCTATGTTTACTCATTAGTATCACTATGTAGACGCGCTAGACGAAGTACTGTGTGGCCGTATCACTTGGTCAGATATTGTGGTTTAAATCTCAAAACAAAAATTTAAAGATGCCACAATAGATCATTCTAGAAAATTAGAGCGCTATAGAACACCAATTTTCTGGTAAAGCACAATAAGCGTTTTTGGATGCAGATCCGTGAACGGGCTGTTTTGTTTAATCAGCACCAACTGTTTGCTTTTCGTAAATTGTTTTTTTTCTTGCATTCATTCACGTCCGCAAATGGGTTTCAACCTGTTCAAGCGAGTTTTGTAGGATGGCTGCGCTTTGTAGGGCTCTTAGAGAGCTCGTGTTAAGGATCCTGCAGCAGGATTCCTGCTGTGATGACTCGGGGTGTCCACTTCATCTGATGCCACAAAATAAATCGCTGAGAAATGTAAATGTCCCGCTCTGGCTCAGCAGTCTAGAATCTTTTTTCAGCCATCAAACTGCTCGTTGGTTGGTAATTTGCCTGACAACCGTTACAGCGACTGGGTCAGATATTTGCAGGAGTGTTTGCAAGTAGGAGTGGTTGCGCCCATAAGTTGACTTATAGCCCCCCCCCCCCCTCATTAGCCTTTTTGCATCGAGTTCGGGACAAAACCGAGTGTTGCTGGTCAGGAATTCGTTCAGCTTCGCCTGGTTTTATTCGTTTTGTATCGTTTCGTCTCGCACACAGCTTCAATTGTGTGCTGACAGGCTCTCGCGCGCGCAACTCTTTCTCTCATAGTTGTGTTTTAAAACACAGCCAAACCGATACAAAGCACCCTCATTCCCGCGATAATGTGGCGGAATGAGGCTAAGAAAAGCGGTAAGAGTCTGGATTAAAGCTTCATTAGAGACTACGGGCATTTCCCAGCAGTAGTCCACGATCGATAAGAGTAGCAGGTCGATGACCACAGACGTGTCTTGTGCTTTTAATGCAGATCCCGAACAGCAGC